GGCACAGCAACAAAAAACGTGAATACCACAATTCAAGAAAAGGAGCAAAACCACTTCCTCATGAAGGCAATGACGTTCGTAGAATACTTAACACATGACCGAATTCTTTTGGGGAAGAAAGAATTCTTTCAAGTCCCCATTACTTTTCTTCCTCTCAGCCAGTGGCCATCCCTGCTGGCATCAGTTCCCTGACCCACGTGGACAGCAGCACCAGGAGAAGCAGCAGCCAGCACTTGCACAGCGTGGGCTGTCTGGGGCACTGTCCTAAGTGCACCCCAATTCCTCTTACTTACAAGAACCTCCCAGGCACACTATTAAGATCCTCACGTTACAGTGGGGAAACCGAGGCACAGACCACAAGCACCTTGCCTCAATGCTCCACACACGTCCCTAACAAGCAATGCAACTGTGACACAGGGACCCTGAAGGAGCAGGACAACTCCAGGGAGACCTGAAATGGCATTTTCATATCAACTTTATTTATTTTTTGAATATGGTGCTGAGGATCAAACCAAACATCTCTCATGTGCTAGGCAAGCAAGCGCTCTACACCAAGCCACGACCCACCCCAGCCCCACAGGGACTTTTTACCTTATGTGTTTCTGTGATATTTGAGCACTGAATGTGAATGTACTGAAAAGTCAACTGTTTAATTAAAATAAAATGCTCAGAGAAGAACAGAGTTATGGGGAGTTTGCTGTGATCAGTCCAAGAGGCAGTGACATGAGAAGTGAACTCTAAAAGGATTTCTGGCCACCTCCACCCAGGTGTACGAATGAACTCTAGTGAGCCTTTTGGAAACACTAATCTCATTTGTAGGTCCCCCAGAGCAAGGATCCCATCTAATCACTCATTGAAAATCTGCTGGCAGGGAAGCAAAACCCTGCAGTTCCCGCGGAGGCTGCGGGGTTCGGGCGCTGGTGCCCAAGGGGGCAGGGAGCCTTCGGTGAATGGAGCGTGAACTACAGCAACCACGTTGGGCCATCAGGCGGGAAGCCTGGTATCTGGACTCCCAGTGGGGACCGGCTGGTGGGAGAAGCCTGGTCCCCAGCGCGTCCTCCCCAGCGCGTCCTCCCCAGCGCGTCCTCCCCAGCGCGTCCTCCCCAGCGC